AGGACCCCCCCAGGACCACTGCCCCCACCCCCACTGCCCTCCACTCACCCCCTCTCTTCCCACAGGGTGAAACAGGTCTGCCTGGCAAACCTGGAGACCGGGGCCCCCGGGTAAGTGTGGGGTGCGTGGGCACCCCGGGGCAGGTGAGATGCCCAGTGGCCTTGGGGTGGCTCCGTTAATGCACACCCTCCCTCTGCCCTTCACCCAGGGCCTCCCTGGCTTCCGTGGCCCCCCTGGGGAGAAGGGCGACTCAGGGGACCCAGGTCCTGAAGGCAGGAACGTGAGTACCACCTTGTGTGCGCCCACCACCCCGTGGGCACCCACCACCCCACCTACCCCATTCTGCACCCACCCTTACCCCAGGGGTACCCATCACCCCACGGGACCCACCACCCCACAGGTCCCCAATCCCTTCCTCCCCTCACGCTGTCCCTCTGTCCTGCAGGGCAGCCCTGGAGTGCTTGGGAGCAAGGGTGACCGTGGGGAGCCGGTGAGTGACCCCCACCCCAGAGCCAGCCCTGCGCTCCCCGGGGCTGTGCCAGCTCCCCTTAACCCGCTTCCCTCACCCTTCTTTCAGGGGCTTCCTGGACCCCCAGGACGAACCGTAAGCTCTGCCCCCACCCCTCTCCCTGTCCCTGGGCTGGTGCCTGGCCCCGTGTGCTCTGACAGCCCCTCTCTGCCCCACAGGTTGACGTGGGGCTCGGAGGAGCTGGAGAGAAGGGCGAGAAGGTAACGAGTGGGTCCCTGGGGATGCTGGCGGTGGGGTGCCCTGTGCTGTCTCCCACTGGGCTCTGCCTGTGCACTGGGATCCTGGTGCACCAAGCCCTCCCTGCCCAAAACAGCCCCTGCCACATAGAGCCGGTGCACACCACGGCTGAGAGCCACGTGGGATCGGGGGGCACATGGAATCCGGGGGGCACATGGGCTGATGCTCCTGCCTGGTGCCAGGAGGAGGGTGCCAGGGGAGGAGGTCCCTGTAGGGCGGAGATCCTCGGAGAAGCCAGCATGCTCATGGCTCCCCAGCCCCACAGGGATCCCGCAGCAGTACCCCGTGCTCTGGGTGCTCTGCTTTCATGAACCAGCTCAGGCTCGGGGCAGTTTTGGGCACGAGCTGTGCTGTGTTGCATGGTATCGTGGTCCCCGGCCGCGGCTCAGCTGGCTTCTGGCTCAGCAGCACTACTCCTTGCGTTTCTTCTGCAATCACTGTCTGGCCACCCAGGAGCTGCGTTGAGCCCAGTAAGCTCTTTTTTCAGCCTGTGCCTGTATTTTGAGACCTTTGCTATTATCCCACCCTTAAACCACGCATCGTAAGCAGAGGTGCTCAGCGTGGGCTCTGGCATGGGCTCGGCACAGGTGTCTGTGCCGGTGGTGGAGCAGTACCTGGAGCAGGTCCACAGAAGGGCCATGAAGATGATCAGAGGGCTGGAGCACCTCTACTACGAGGACAGGCTGAGGGAGTTGGGACTGTTCAGCCTGGAGAAGAGAAGGCTCTGGGGTGACCTTAGAGCAGCCTGCC